TTTTTTAAATTTTTTTTTTTTTTTTTTTTTTTTTTTTTTTGGGTAAGAGATCGGGCGGGTAGGAATGGGTGGGGTGAGAATCGAGGGGAAACAAGCGAACGCACACACAGTTAAACGAAGCGACGAGTTTCGGAAGGAAAGTACAGTTTTCTCCTTCGGTGGCGACGGATCCACGTGAGTTATGGCGGGGTCGAATAATCGAGGACCGCAATAAACGTCGCACGTCCAGACCTTGGAGTGAACGAAAGGGGAAACCGAAAAGCGACATTTCTATTTACATGCGCGCCCGACCACCCAGCAGATGCTTCGCTTTACGACGCAAGTCGTTTGCGTTAAATGGCATTGGTGCAGCGACGAATCGTAGAAGAAACTCGCTCGTGATGATATCCGTCTCGGCGAGTGATGGGGATCGGGGAAGGGGGAGGAGAAGAAGGAAGGGGCAAGTGCACCGCGGCCAATTAGCATTGAAGATGCGAAGAGGATATATGGATGGAAAAGAAGAGAAACATCTGCCGACGAGGGCCGCTTTTCGCGCTCGACAGAACATCCGAGGAAAAGAAAGTATTGAATTTCGTTGGCCCTTCTCGAGGGGCCCGCTCGCTGTGCTCCAAACAAAAAACTGTTTTATCGGCCACGCAGTATACCAATGTGCCTTTGTCTTTGGAGGATGTCGGTAAGGTCGGGGGGATCGCCGGTAATTTGCGAGGACAAAAAGCACCGGGGTTGTTTGCAAGAACACCTGTTGGCACCCTGAAAAAAAAACGGGCGCTCGGGACAACGGGGGCGCTCCTTTGAAATTATTCGACCATAATAGGTGTACATGAGTGAGAGAGGGAGAGAGTGAGAGAGGGGGATATGGAGGGTGATGAGGGGAGGGGAGAACGAAGGAGATCGGAATGGGGAGCGGAGGGATCTCGCGGGAAAAAAAAAATAAACGAGGGACGATTGAAAGGAATAGGCAGCTCGTTGTGAACGGGACTTGCGGCATGAACGCGAGTCTCGGTTCCATGAGAAAAGCAACTTTTCGTGCAGTCGACGAGGCATAAATTATCGCTGAGACTTGAAAATGCTTCCACGTACGGAGAATTTGGAACGTCTCTGTGATCCATTAGCTATCGTTGATTATCACGCGAATGTTCGCTTGAATGAAAAGTAAGTAGTACGGTTTAAGTGTGGAAGGTCGTTTAACATCAAACTTTGCGTTTGGTGAAACGTTTGTTCCCAAAAATGTCATTACACATGCATACAACATAACGTTTTTATCCTTTTAATCCAATTTGATGAAAAACGGTTAGATACTTTAATTGCGAAAGCTGCGATGCTTAATATTCTCAATATTAGAAGTCTACATTAACATTATTTTCGCTACTGTAAAATTTGCGTTAATGCGTATTATTATGTATTAATGCATAAAAATATTATTAAAAATGGAAAATTTTCTTGTTGTTACACAGTTAATCAATAATGATACCTGCTGATGAGGCAAGTTGGGAGAATGAAACGCGTAAGTATTGAACACTTTGGGCGACGAAAAATCCCGGTTAAATAAAAAAAATAGCGCTTTGAAAATATCATAACGTCGATTATTACGACGATCGCGAATGAAATGATCAATGAATTCGATCTTGACGTAACACTTAATGCCCATAGGGTTAGTAAGCCGAGAGAAGGCTGCGTAGTCAGAATTCTTTAATCACTATTTCGTTCTCTCTCTCTCTCTCTCTCTCTCAATTTCTTTCCATTTTTCTCTTTAATATACAAAGAACAAGTGCGTCCACGATACTTGGGCCCTAATAAGTTCATGTACATTTAACCGAATAAGGCAGGCTGCCGTAGTAAGACAAGCGAATAATACGGCTGGCAAGAGACGGTGAGAAATAATGAGCGATGCAATGATATAGGGAAATACAAAGTGGAGAGTGGGAGGGAGAAAGGATAAAGAAAAGAGGGAAGAGAAGTTAAAAAAAAAAGTCGTAAGGAGATTTACCTCGTAAGGAGCGAATCTTCTCGCGGGGCTCCCGCATATTGCACTAAGAGCCCGTGTATTCTCGGGGTCCTCTTGTTTTGGACGCGTCGCTCCGCCCCCGCCTTGGAGGAACAGAGGTCCAGTCACAATCTGGCGTTGAGGTTATGCGAGAGTCGCGGCTGCCGCCGCCGCCGTTAGCACCACTGGCGTTGCCGTGACGGGGGAGAGCGCGAATACCGAGGTAATGAATCACGAAGGGGTCGGGCGTCCGGGTGCTACGCTCCACGACTCCGACAATCCTACGAAACTGACACACGACTCTGCTGGTCGCAAGAAGGAAAACGAGTGTCTTGGACTCGCGCAGCAATCGTCAGCCTCACACCGTCGCCACTGAATGGATCGTACGTACGTGTGAGGTTAGACTGGTTGGTGGCGAGGGTGTACGTGAGCGACCGCTCATTCTCACTCCCCCCCCCCTCCCTCACTCCCCCCTCTCTTCCCCTTTCCCACTCTCCTGGCCAAGATCGTGCTTGGGCTTTTCACCCATTCCCCTTCCTTCGTCGCGTCGTTACTTTACGGGAATAAATATAAACGTACGGGTTATCTACCCTAATGTATTATACGTAGACGTATTATACGGCAACTGGGACGATGCGTGTCGCGTGCGCCGATGTTTCGTAAAATTGGTGTGATCCCTTCTTCAATTCTCTATAATCGTTTAGATTATCCTTAATTTTAAACTTTTTTCCACAAACCTGGCCTCGTTGTCATTGGTTGTTAGACGATTTTCAAGATTTACGACCAAGGCTTTATAAGCACGATTTTGTTGTAACTGTGTCGAATTCGCGTTATCTCAACTTTTTCTATCTCAATTTTTAATGTATTAAAAGCTTAGCATCACCTTACCGTCTTAGCGTTCCACTCTTGTGGGCCATTATCCCAAAAATGTTTATCATCAAATAAGCTCTCGTTAAGTCCTACGCAATACAACTTATATAATTGATAAAGGAGCGAGAAAGCAAGAAAACTACACTTACAGTTAGTTACTTCGTGCAATTATAAATAAAAATGCAAGCAGATATGTCTATATTGCCATAAGGAATAAAAATTGCCTATGTTGAATTTTTTCTATCGTACTTCGTATCGTTTACCATGATGGTAATGAGGTACCGAGTGAAATCAAAGCTGTAACCGTACATTAAAAATATTATAAACCTTGAACGTATTGCTCGATGGTAAGTAAAGACAAGACCTCGGTGATCAATTTCATTATTAATTTTAATCACAATTGAGCGCAGCCGAGACTCCGTTCGTCGGCCCGTCGGCAAGCCAATTTACCATATTCTCACCAGGCCTTTAATCTGTTTAGATGAATTGGGTTGTACACGGAGCGGATAGATTAATTTCGCTGAAAGAAAGTTGAGGGACCATGTCAAATGTCGCTCTTTCCCCGTTAAACGTAACGCAAAACCGCATGCAAGTGTGCGTGCGGCGTACTGTAAGTAGATTCGAGCGCCGCGCTGCGTTGATTGGTTCAACCAATTCCCCGACTACATGTCCTCGGATAACGTTGAGAGTGTGACAATCATGAAAACAGAAAGTCTACAAGCCATGTGTTCATTCTGCCAGTGGTATCCACTGTTTAGCAAAAATGCTCTGGAAGCGATAGTGCTCCCAGTGCCCAAGAACGTGTGCGATTACCTCGAGCATGATGCGTTTATATTACCCTCGGAGGCGACTAGTAAGATTACATACAGTAATTCGGAATGGTCGGATGGCTCTGCCGTCAACGAGCTTGAAGAGGTAAATTTTAGGTATTCGATTATTTGCTCATAGGACCTTTACATTTATCAAGTCCTCAACTTATATTAATTTCACTTGTTTTGTATCGATAAAACAAACGTGTACATAATTATATTTATATATATATATATTGAAATCGATTGATTATGTCCATTCGTGGTATCCTCAGTGCGCAAATGCTTATTCCTCGTCATGACCAATAATAATGACAGTTTGTCTAAATGAGAATTGTATTTTTTAGGACTCCGACTTTCAACCAACATTTCCAGATTTCAGTAGGCGAGTACAGGAGGTAATAGATAAATTTGAAGCAGTTTTCATCAAATCTAATTGGAGCGCTCCCACAGTAATAATATTTTATTAATTTTATATTAGAAGTATAAATAACTCTTGAAGCATGATTTATTTTATCCATTGTACAGGATTCTACATGGGTGACACCAACAAAAACTTTAAAGTGTACTTCTTTAGAAGATGTTTATTTACTTTTAAAGAGCTCCGATCGAATATCCCAGGATTTGAGCTTTGCAAAGAATTGTAATAACAAGGAGAACTTTATAGCTCCGTGCTTAGTATTAAAAAGGTGGCAAGACGTAGATCCTTGCACAGAGTTTCGTTGCTTTATTGTAAATGGCGAACTAGCTGGTGAGAAGCAAAATTATCAAAATCTTTTTAAGCGTTGCAATATTTTAAATAAAATAAATTACAGGAATTTCTCAAAGAGATATTTTTCAGTACTATAGGCACATAGAAAATGAAAAGTATGATATACAAAAAGATATTAAGAGTATGTTTATGGAAAAAGTAAAGGATAAATATCCAGCTAATAACTGTAAATTAAACAAAATTTAATCTTTCAAAATGTTAAAAAACATAACGTTCGATTTCTAAAATGGCTTTATTTTATACTAGATACATTTGATGTAATCAGATATAAAAAGGATAAAGTAAAAATAGTTGATTTTGGACTGTTAAACAAGTCTGTCACAGAAGGTACCTTATTCACTTTGCAAGAATTACAAACTGACATACCAGAAGCGCCAGAGTTCCGATTTATTGCCGAAGACATGGGGATTCAACCAAAGACAACGACCCACCTTTGCGTACCACGCGAAGTAAATGAATTTTTTCAAGCTACTGGAGGAATGTCAATGATCGATGCCATACAAAAGGTTTAAAAACTTGTTAAATCTACTTATAGACGATAAACGTTAAGAAAAACTTTCAATACAATAATACGGATTGAATTTCTTTGATTAACATTAATAGGAAGTCCAGGATCAAGGAAAGGAGGAAAATGCGAGTATTAGTTAGTCTGGAAATTGTTTTAGCAAAAAAAAAAAAAAAATCTGAATTAAATACAGAACTTTCATTTTTATTCTGCCAATACCCTCTTGTTTTTCTATTATTACATTACATAAAACGATTAAACACTATATTCTATCGCTTGAAAGAATTATCATGTAATATTGCAATATTCATCGAGCCGTCGATCTCAATTAATTTTTTCTTTGTTTACTGAGCGACGTTTTTCATATAGAAAATATGTCTTGTTTATTTACAATATGCAATCCTTCAAATTTCTGTTAAATTTTTTTTATTTTTGCTCATTCTCTCAATCTCTCTCTTTCTCTCTCTCTCTCTCTCTCTCTCTTTCTAGCTCACTGTTTATCTTTTTTTTTGTGCTAAACGACAAATACATAGCGCTCGAAGAACAACCTTTCATGACAATGTAGCTCTCTCTACTCTTAAGAGATGTTCAAAGTGACTACGGTACAACGTATAGCGCTTTCGAATACTGGTAATGTTTCTTTTTTTTTATTTTTTTATTTTTTTTTTGTAATCTCTTAATCGTTTTAAGTGACAAAACTTTAGCCTTAACAAACATACGTTACAAAAACTCCTTAAGTTACTTTTCTTATAACGGCCTTTAAGCAGCTTAAGTACCTGAAGCTAACTTTGGAAAACTTTTTTTATATACCTCCTTATCAATATAATAATAATGTACGATTTTTTGTCTCGAAAAAAAAAAAAAAATGCATTGCGGCTCTTTCACCAAAACCTATGTTTTAATTATTATCGGCTCTACTGTGTTATGTTCTTTGCTTATTTACTGTTTATAGCCATTTTAAATGCGCTCGGTACGACTAAGTTTCGGCAAAAGACCGCACTAACTCGTCGACAAAAATTTCCTCATCAATCGCCAAGACAAAGTGATCGTTATGTTTTCGTAAGTCGTTTTTCTTTTCAAAAATACGCATCTATTAATCTGTTCTTAAATCAATTTGTCAAACTCTTTTTACGTTTGCTTCTCACTCATGCCTATGACGTTAACGCAAAAATTTACACATTTAAAATATACAGGAAGATTCTTAGGAGCCGCTTCTTGAATATTCACTTGTTTCTCCATTTCGCATACGGGCATCGATGAAGATAAATAAATAAAATTTTACTTTTACACAACAAAGAAAACTCTCACATTTCATAAAGGTTAAATAATATACAATACTCTTTGAATTTACTTTATTTGTACAGTAATTATAACGTTCATTCAAGACATCCAAGTACAGATTGCAATTATAAAAGTCAGGGAAAAAAGAGCAGTAATTTTCGAACAACGAGTTTCTATTTACATATGATAAAAAGAAAAAATAAAAAAGTGAAAGTCAATATATGCAATTTTTAGGGCAAGAAAACAAATAAGTTATATAATCTCAGTATATTAAAAAGTACGATCTAATTTCCATTTTATTTAATTAAATTATTATTATTATTTTTTTAAATAAATTTGTTTCGGGCAACAGAAACATCAAATAAGCGAACAAATTGACATGTAAAAAAAAAAAAAAAAGAAGTAAACTTTCAACGCAAGACCCGTTTTCATCGTAGCATTTCTGGTTGGTGCAATTACAGGATCGCATATGCTTAATATCAACCCCTCGCGTGTTTCTTTTTTTCTTTTTTTTTCTTTCTTTTTTTCTTTTGTCTTGAAATGATGATTACAGCCGATACTGTATAGGTAAGAATAGAGTTACACGTATAAATGTTGACTTAATTCTGCAAGGAAAAATCTACCTAACTACCTTTCAATTAGTTTCTATTTTATTACTCGCTTTATATGCACGAGTACACACGAACAGTTCGCACTCACCCTTGACTAGATTGCATTTTTTTTTTATCTTTTAAATTCTTACTATGAGTAAATCGGTTCTCTACTCCTCTACTGATAACTCTGCCCATAAAAATTCGAACTGTTACTTTAAAAACATCTCGGAGATTTAAGTCGTATCTAGTTTACTGACACTTCAATTTTTACAGTGATTCGCGGTTAATCTATAATTTGAGAAAACACTGATTTGTTACGATGTTATTATAACACCTCTTCATTACAATAATAAACAAAGCAACAAATTCCGAGAGTATTGCAAAATTATTACAATGAGAACGACTACTGTTGTAAACAGCGAAAAAAGTCTAATCATCGGTAAAAACAATACCCCGAGATTACATGTGTGTACATCAGCGTCTCTACAAGTCATCGCTACTGCCTCTTTAGTCCAGCCATTTATTTAGCTCGTGATCACCTACTGTAATCGAAAACATCTACAATTTAAAAGGAGCACGCACTAACGATCCCCTATTTTGGGGTCCTTGTGGTATTTTCAAGTTATATATATATATATATATATATATATATATATATATATAACTGTATACATACATAAGCCTAAATTTCTTTCATTTTATAATATATATATAACTTAAAAATTTTCACCTATGGATTTTACCTAACTTTTTCTCATTTTCTCTATTAATGATTCTCGTAACGCAATTATTTACACTGAAGATCCTCCTTGCTAATGTCAAGAGGAGGCTCTGGTATTTTCTAGGATAATCTGACCAAGATACCAGTTTTCTTTTTTCCTTCATTTCTTCTAATTATAATTTAGAGAAATATTTTCGACTTTTTTTTTATACAAACGTCAATTCTTTGTACATTGAAAAAAAGTTTTGGTATTCCGTCAGAGTAAGTAACAACCCTGCTCGTAACTTGATTTTATCTCGACCCTGTAAATGCTTTGTTGAATATATGACGTGTATAAGAAATCGGTCGATCTTTATAGAATATTGGCGCGAGGACGTATCTGACATTTCAACGTCGCTCAATTCAGTCGGCCGTCGAGAGCTCGGGGAACGATAATTGATCTATTCAGCGAGCTTTTTCATTCTTCCTTAAAACATTATCTATCTCCAAACATTAGTATAAAATTTAAATAAATGATAAAAAAAATAAATAAAAAATAAAAAAATAATAGTCGATCGAAAAAGCCTGCCTCCTGCGAGTACGAGCCAACGCACACTTTCACTTTTAAATAAGCGCTCTCGAGGAAGAAGACGAATATCCAATCGCGCAATCGGTCGACTCATTGAATCACACGAGTCGCGCTCTGTGCGGCTTTATATAATCATCAACTTATGACGGGAACGAATTGGCGATGCCTTTGAGAGTAGCACGAGAATCTACGTTCCTCTTCAACATCCTTCAACAACAGTAGGCGCAGTCGGCACTGCGAGAAAACCACTTATCACGAACGAAGAATGTACAGACGCGTGTGAGCTAGGACTACCTCTTCTTCACTAAGAGTTTCGTCGTCGTCTTCGTCGGCTGTTGCTGTTGCTGTTGCTGTTGCTGTTGCTGTTGATGCTGCTGCTGCTGATGCTGTTGTTGTTGTTGTTGTTGTTGTTGTTGTTGTTGTTGTTGCTGCTGCTGTTGCTGCTGCTGATGATGATGATGGTAATGGTGCTGGTGCTGGTGTTGCTGCTGCTGCTGATGATGATGATGATGTTGATTTTCCTGGTGTTGATGCGACTGTTGTTTCGATCTCTTAATTTTACTAGGACTATGATTCTCGGGTTGCTGCTGGAGATGCTGCTGTTGCTGCTGGAACTTTGGTACTATGAGCTTTTTGCTTTTGGGCCTCTCTGGTGATCCATTACAGCAGGCGCAACCTTTCTTCACGTGACCGCGTAGGCTCAATCTACGCGCCGTCAAACAGTGTTCGGCTCCGACATCGAGGGCTCCGAGGCTCATAAGTGTTGTCGCACTGTTCTCGTCGTCAGAGGGGCCCACTTCGTATAACTTGTCGACCGTGGTAATGGGACTCGAAGACTCGTTCTCACTCGTTGTCATTATTGCTGCCGTTGCAGTTGCTGTTGCCGAAGCCGTTGATTGCTTCAACTTTTTAGAGAGAGATTTTGAAATCACAGGCTTTGAGTCCGTTGATTTATTCGTTGCTGTTGACCCTATTCCAGCATTTGAATCTCGAATTAATGTTTTAATTGAGTATACTCCATCGAATCGATAATATTGGTATGGACACGTATATGGTTTTCAAGATATTTTAATACATATCCATACTACAAGAGTTTCTGAAGTTTATCTACAAAACGTTAAATTGCGAATAAATCATTTTTATAAACACATTTTAGCGTTTTAAAATATTTTAAATAATACAATTATATAATATTAAAAAAATAATAATAAATCAATTAAATGAAATGTAGAGATAATAAAATCGTTATATGATAAATTTTAAACTCTGAATTTTTTCGAAATTAATTACTCAATTAAAATTAATGAAATAGCTCGGTATATTATTTATACCAGTTAAATGATTCAAATAAATAAAACATGTATAAGAGGCAATTATATAATAATAAAATGCTAGAATAGAAATCATACGTTTTATATACGATTATCTTATTTTTCATTTTCATAAACTCTTACAATTTGCTCGATCTATTTATATACTTCAATATATGAAAAAATAAAATAATCTGCCGTTCAAAGCATCACATTTATAATAGAGTTAAGCTATAATATATTTTGCAAATACTTAATAATATTCTTCAAGCAACGTATATATTTATTAAACGTTATCAAATACAATTTGCTATTGTAAAGAGACGATCCTTACTTTTGACGAATCCACCACTCCTTTGATTAATTGTAGTCCTTCGAGCTACTGGTGCTTTTCTTTTAGCTGAATATGTAGCGTGATCAACGGGCGTGACCTTGATTGCAGGTACACTCCTCGTTATAGCTTCCTGCAAACCATTGCCAATGCCACCTATATTATGCTCAAGCTGAGCTGGAACGACTGTACCACTTATGCGTGGAGATTCGTCGCCATCGTCCTCATCTTCGTCGTCGTCCTCATCATTATCACTGCTCGATCTCGTTCTTTCTGACATGGGACTCTCCCAGTTTAAGCTTGTTGTCCTCGTATCGACACTATCATTTTAATACAATCATTTAACATTAGATTATAGATAATCAAATAATTTTTTTTTTATCCTTAAAATAGTACTAAATCATTTATTATAGGCTAGCGCTATTAAAGCATTTTTATTAGGAATTAACGAACGGCTAAGAAATTAATGATTATACCTGAAGAAGTCGATGGCGCGAGGTTGTTTCACCGCCGTCGGTCGCTTCTTATTGTTGGCGTAAGTAAATCTGTGTGTCATGAGGAGAGGCCCGGCAATGGGTGATAATGGCGAGGGTATTGTAACGCTAGCGGCACTATCCTCGAGTAGCGTTAAGCTCTCGTCGTCTTCGGCCGAACTCGCCGTTGAAGAAACATTGTTGATTTTTAGAGAACGTCGTACAGAACTTGATGTTGCACTGGTTCCCGATGGCTCCACGTCCATATCGAGCTTTACCTGCGAATGACTACTCGATCTGCTACTACTCAGTGTATCTTCTCTATCCTTTGATCCGTTTCTATTTGTTATCTAGTGAATTGCGAAGAAATATTATTGTTATTTTTTTTTTTTACGAGCACCCATAGTATATTTTCAGTTACATTTGCATATGTAATATATTTCTCATTAGTATTGAATTCATTCATTTCATTGAAATATAGCCATCTTTATTTTCTACAAATGTAAGCAAGACAAGAGCGTATTTAATTAGCAATAATCAAGTTAAATATAATTGAATGTAATATTCGTTGGTTACAATATAATACAACATAGTTAATTTTTTGAAAATAATACTTGCTCTCCACCTTTTGATTGAACGTTTCTTTACAGAAGTCATTATCGGTAGCGGGTGACAGTCGGGAAAGGTCAGAGTTACTATTGGAAGCTTCGTCTTGGCTCAAATTGTCGATAAGGCTAAGTCTGAGCTGCTTGGCAGTGGTACTGGCACTTGTACCATCGACTAATTGTTGGCCGTCTAAGTTCCGCTTGTTCCTCCTCGTCTGCGAATCCTTGAGCTTCGGGGTCCGTCTCTGAATCGGTGTCTTCTTCTTTGGCTCGCGATATGGAACCGAGGTCACGACTACAGGACTCGCGTCCCTACTGCTTGTTGATACCGAGTCCAATGATTTAAAGAAGGAACTACTGCTGCTGCTGCTTGCTCCGGCATATGATTTGATGCCGCTCAATGTGCTCGTACCGCTGAAAATTATATACTTTTATTTCCCGTGCTCTAATCACCACACGCTAATGAAAAATAGTGACACTAAAATTACGAAATAATTAATAAATTGCATATAGTAGAAAATATTTTGTTTTGAATATGTTTGTAAATAGTTTAATGTTATAAATATTTTGAAAAATTGATTAACTATTATGATAAAATCGAACGATTATTAATTCAAATTCTTATAAAAATAATAATAAAAAAACTACAGTAAATTTAAATTCGTATTTCTATTACCTCAAAGTCTGGCTGCAGCTGGCTTCTTGTGAGGAATGATCAAAGGAGGGAGAGTGATTGGTGTCGAAGAGCAGATCTGCCTCGGGGAAGAGATCGCTCGTGCTTGGTTCATCGACACCAAGGTCCTCGCACTCCTCGCTCAAACTCTTCTGAAGTCTAAGCTCGCATTCGATTATTTGTTGCTTCCTGTCGTTAAGTCGTTGTTGATTTTCCTGCTCAGCGGTAGAGCGAGCATTGTTAGTGTGTCCGGGCTTTGTTAGTCCCTTACTCGGAAATTTCTGGAAGGGCTCCATTGAGTTATTCATCGTGTGATAGTACTTTTTCGTATGGAACACGCCACCACTCGTCATTTCGATGCCCTGGCCTTTATTGATGATCTGAAGTACGCTACTGTGGACGCTCTCCGAGTTCTCACCGTCACGGGAGTAAACCTTCAGGTGATCGATACCCAGTGAATTTGTCGTTGGTATGTACCTAAAATAAATCATACAAAATGATTTTATGCTAGGGCATTTGTCATCTTTATCACTGTTCATTACTTTATCGCTATAGTGGAAATTATGTAAAGCAATTAAATATCTGATCACAACAAAGTAAAAGAAACAGTATTTTATATTGAGTTTATCAAGTCGTTGAATAATTATAAGAGCAACGATTTTGAACAGAAACTTTTTACGAACCGCCAAGGTGTGTCCGGTGAGCCTTTCCTCTCCGGTTCCCAAGCCTCTTGAAGTCGGGCATTACCGCATAGCACCCCGTTTTCAAGCTTCACTCCGTCCATGCTGCTGTTCTCCATTGTCGAGTTTGGGATCGTCGACGACACTGATTCTTGGCTGTCCGAACTACTTGGCCCACCACTCACAAGTAACTGCGTGGCTGCATCAAGACAAGACGAGGATGGTGTTGTCACAGAAGCCAGTGATGGAGACGACAACGACTGTTTTACTTTATTACTGAGTGATTCCGACGTATCTGTAAGGTATAATGCAATTCACTTCAATTATGTAGTTAAAAACTTTTTAATTATTTCACTTCAATTCACATGAGCATCAAGAAATTCCTAAATATACATTTTTCAATATGCAATATTTCATTGACGATTATATATTAACTTAAAAAGATATTTTTTATTGAAATTTCTCGATGTTTTATGTAATACTAAAGAAAATTTATAGTTGTTTATACACATAAAATTTAATGATATTTAATATTTAGAATATTTATGTATTGAATTCTACGAGATGTCATTTTTTTCAAATAAGTAAATTTTAATTTACATTTATTTATACCATTATTTCGTAATTTTATTATGACTAGCACCAGCTTCTTTAAATCATTGGACTTAATTTCAATAAAAATTATGATAAATGATAGAACATTTTAAATAATTAAACAGGATTGAAGTCATTTTACTTTGTTTGACAAAATAATATCCCATATAAAGCGAAAGATTGAAATATTTCTATACACAAAATTCTAACATAAATTACAATGATATAATATCAAATATGATATACAGAAAAAACGCAATGAATAGATGATACTTTGATTGTGCATGATAGACGCTGTGTGAAAACCAACTAAAAAGCTGCAGAGCTGAAAGAAAACAAGTTTGAAATAAGAGTAAATAATGATAATACGTAAGTAAACAATAAATGATTAAAGTGCAAATGAAATAACATGGATTACAATACCACAGTATACAATATCACACAAATACAATTATTAATTCGTAAAAGTTAACCGATAAGAATTTACTTTCAACACATTAAAAAAAAGTACATGCAAAACATGATAATATGATATACAACATAGATAATAAATAAAAGATGAAGAATAACAATTAATTAAACGAAAAATTATATAAAAGACACGATGAATGTATAATTGATTACATATGAGAATTGACAAATATTTCTTTTTATTATTCTTTAAAAAATTTATTGGTATAAAAATATTATCCTACTTTTATTAAAAAAAATATATATATATATATATTAAAATATATACTTCAACTACAATAGTTTTTAAGTGGAAAACATTTTGTAAACATATACTGCCCATACAAATTCTAATATTACATTCAAGGAGGTAAGCATCTCTAGAATTCTGTACAAATACGCAAACAAAAGAAATTATATAAACACGAACAAATAGATAAATGCGCGAAGTCTACGAGTAAAAAAGAAGTCGCATAAAGTACGAGTTCGACAATCGAGTCACTCCTCATCCTTACCGGCGCCAGCATTACATTGTGTGATCGTATCTGCGAGGATCTGTTCCTCTTTTCTTTTAACCGTCTTGGGGGACACAATCTTGTTGTCCTCGGGAACCACGCCGTTCTTAGTCTCCTTTTGGCCCTGAGATACGGCACTAGCAACGTCGTTACTTGCGGTAAACGCGAGAGCAATGGTTGTAGCCGCCTTGGACTCACCATCCTTCATCGTTGTGGTCAAACGCACCATTTGTTGTTGTTGCTGATTGCCTTCGAGCTTAGCCATTGGAACCTTAACACTGGAAGAATTACAGATCCGCTGGCCGATATTCGGATTACTCGTTATGACGCCCGAATGTTGGAAAAGTCCAATTGTCGCCAATGGTGTCTTGCCCCCCTCGACTTTCATCTCGCCCTTCTCGACCTCTTCACTAGCAAATCTTACGACGCCCGTGCCCTGCGGTATCACAATCTGACTTTGTTGAGACAATTTTAGATGTTGTTGTTGTTGCGGCTGCTTTTGCTGCTGCTGTTGTTGTTGTTGTTGTTGTTGTTGTTGTTGTTGCTGCTGCTGGATGACCTTGTTTGCTTGATTGAGGAGGGACTGTAGAACAAAGGCGTTGGATACGCCAGAGGTGCCGCCGGTTGTACGAACCGTCGGAACAGCCGCAAGGAGCTTTGAGCTCCCCGAAACGACCGTTATCTGTTGTCCACTTTTAACAAAGTTCATGGGAAGCATGAAATTCGTACCTGAGACCAATACCGCCGTGCCCGTCGTCATCTTGCTCGTCACCGAGGCGAGAGTCTCACCTACTCCCGACTGAAGCGCTTCTTGCACAATTACCGCTCGTGTTTGACCTACAAGTAGGAGGAACATTGTTTTTGAATAACTTTTAGTATTCATGATCATTATCCTGTTCTTGCATTCTTTCCTATTTTGTATTGTGTAGCGGGTATGTAAAAAAAAATTTTCCCAAACAAACTTTCATACATTGTTACTGCAATGTTTGTCAATTTAAAAAGTATTGCGAATTAATATATAACAGTCATATTGTTTCTATTTATGAAAAATATGCACCAATAGAACATATAAATACAATGAAAATTAAGGAATATTCATATAAAAAATAACGATTGTTTCCATTGTTTTGGCAATAATTATGGACATATTATGTACAAGTGTGATGATAGTGTGTACACTAAATGGTGTAAAAAATCGACAAATAATTGACGTGAAAATTAAATAATTTTTTTGCACTAATGTTCCTTGAAATAAATTATTAACCTGTATTGGGTTCGGCAAATATAAGATTCCGCCTTTTCATGTTTACTTCTACACCGTCGTTGGAGTCACTAGCTGCATTTGTACTCTTTGTCTCCGACACACTTCTAAGCGTTGCATTATCATTAGTAGAACTAGAAAAAAGCACGTTTACGTTATCACAAATTAGCCTAGTATTTGTATTTACAAGCGCATACAATATATATTGTAATTATTTTAAAATACTTTTCAAGCCTTATTCACATTCGAGATTGTCTTTATTTTGACGCTTATTCATATTACATTGTGTAAGCCGTGGAACAAAGATCCGAAAGCAAAGCACAAAATAGAATAATATTAAAGCAAGTTTTTATAGCAAAGTTTTTGTCTTGTTGGAAGCCCGACGACTCACCTTTGGCTGATGTTATTGCTTCCAGCAAGTGTGTCGTCGCTGGCGGAAAAGTTGGCTGGACTGTCTTGCACGTGCAGTATTGCAGTCGCTGATCCGACACCCGCGGTAAGACTTCCGCCACCGCCACTCGAATCCTCGCTACCCATTGTCCTGCCTGTATCCTCGGCACTGGGGCTGGGCTCGGATGTCTGTTGGCCCGAGACCGCCTTGGACTTGCTTGAACCAGATTTCTTGCGTTTCGACGATTGGTTGGGATTCGTCGGTGGGTTTGAACGTCGTCTCGGTGCTGGCTTGTTGTTTAAGTCCGGCGAATTACGTAACTGCTCCGCATACTGGCCTAGGATCGCATATATCCTTTGGGTCGTCTCAGGATCCTCCTGGGGTTTCTGTTGAGGTTTAGGAATCGGAGCTGTCTTCGCTGTACTCTGGGTGTTCACCTGTGGATCATACTTTTTTAATGCTCTATCACTATGTTTTCTTAGAACGAATAAGATTCTTGTGCTTGTCCATTTAAATTCCTATATCAATTTGATACATTACAAGATAACGATACCATTTGTAATTGCGGATTTTCGAATTCTATTTGTCAAATAAATTGACTGAATGCGAATCGAATGTCTATTTAAGCCAACGTTTCTATTATTATTACAATTGAAATTACAATCAAAGTCTACTCGAGTCTTTTTCGAATATTTTTAAAGTATTCCTGTTTTTATGCTTGTATAATCGTAAAATAACTGTAAACTTCGAGTACACTTCATTAACATTTAAAAACATTGTTAGTTTTCATCGTATGCTTATAAGAACTTTGTGATATAAATTTTTATTAATTAATTTACGTGAATATTACCAGAAAAAGTATTTTTAAATATAATTTATTTTATACAGTCTAATAAGTAATGTAAAACTTTATTACTTTCCTTGACACTCATAAACATGTATAATTGATAAATGAATAAAATACATAAATTTCACGTTGCTTCGTGTATTTACATTTATTTTTAATTAATATAAGTATATGCTGTAACGAATAAATCTATTTGTTTCTTTCTTCTATTATTATATTATTAGTATAACCATATAATATAATATTTCTGCATTAGTAACAGACGCTAGCATCTAATTTTTAAAGATGAAAACCATGAGAATCAAGAGCGAGTAATAATGGATTTGCATGTAAGCAACTATTATCTAACACCTGATGATTTGTGGGTTGGCAATTGGCAATTGGTAACAAGAGTTGTGGGCGCAAGCGAATCCTATATTGTCATCCATTTCCAAGATCACTGGTCTTATGTTGCATTTACCAACATAATTCGAACGAGAATTATGTTCAATTACTTCAACGTCAAAATTTCAGCATGATAAACGCAACATTGACGAAGCTGTAAATCTCTTGCATGGGTAATTTTTTTAAGTAAACTATGATACCGGGTGCGTCCTCGGGGTATAATGGGCTTTTTAACTTAGACTAATTAATTTGTCTATTAGGCAGCCACCGACTATGTAATCCACCATTCCATCATAATTAATTTGTTCGTAAAAAATATTTGATAAATATCGATTAGATGATTGATTGCCTACCGTAGTTCGGCTTAAGCTTTTAATCAGTATTTTTATTTGGGAGAAGAAAAAAAATTTTTAATTTAAAAATTCTCTAATACTATTCTAATAATGCTCAGATATGTTGAAATGCTAAATGTTCTTACATATTTCTTTCAATTAAATTATTCAGCGATGTTGTATAGTGTACTCGTGCCAAGGGGTTCTTGATTAGTTCTTGCAGATAAATAAATTACATGTTAAGAATTCATTTACACGCGAATGAAATATCTGACTTTTGAGCGTACGTGATTGAAATACATAGTTGACAAAATAATGATTTTTCTTTTCTTTATACTAATTATTCAAATTTATTTCTGATTAAATAATCGCGCCTTTTATGATAAAATAATCGGAGTTTTATTCGATAAATAAATAAATTGATTTTATTGATGAAATGATTAGTGATGAATCATTATGAGTTTAAATTTAAATGCATTAACTTTTTCAACAATGTTAAAGTTTTTTTTTTTTTTTTTTTTTTTTTAAGATAATATTTTAAATGATAATTAAAAAATTTAATCTTTAATACCAACATCTTATTCAAATTAGGTACTTACTTTAACTGTTTTGGGAGCAGCCTTCTTTGTACTTTTTGAAGATGACTGAGGTGGCGTTTTCCCAGTAGATGAAACGGGTGTAGGCGCCGGTGTTACGCATGGACTCGACGAACTTTGAGAAGTAACACTCAATGCCGGAGACGCTGCTGGTTGGCAATACGATGTGACAACGACAACCGGTGTCGAGTTTACTACTTTCGATGTCGCTGTGCTGCTATTTTGATTTGTGTACATCAGAGCCACTTTTTGTGGATAAACCTAAAAACAAAAAATATTTATTATGATTTATTATAATATTACTGATATTGATATTATTATTGCGATAATGAGTTTTGGAACATTTTAACTAATTATAAAAAATATTATTGTTCTTATTGTTTCGAATTTTTACTAATATGAAATTATTTTTATTTAATTTTAATAAGAACTATTTTATTTATAAATTATTATATTGTCAAATTACCATTATATATATATATATATATATATATATTTAAAATGTATCTTTGCAGCAATAAACATACATTTTATCAAAAAATCTCTATTCATAAAAATTCAATTTCACTTTTTGTAAATTTAATTTTTCCTTTTTTTAATATACGTAATTATCATCTATTTATATATATAAAATACAAATGTATAAACCTCCTGCTGCTGGAATGTTAGAGTATTGCCATTGCTGGGAAATTCGAGAGCACTACTGGGTGATTGCGAGGACATAAGGAGTTGTTGTGTCAAAGCGCTCACAGAAACCTGCTGTGGCTGGGACTGTTTCGCCGGCGCGGTGTTCTGCACTGCCTGGGACTGCGTTTGCGTTTGCACAGTGGTCGTATCACTCGAGGACGATTGACTCGTACTACGTTCCTTAACTTGCTCCAATACGCTCTCAAACTCGCGGAGCTGCTCGAGGGTGGATGAACTCACTTGATTCGGCATCTCCATCGACGAGTTTATTAAAGAATCGGCCGATCTCACATTTTGCTGCTGTTGTTGCTGTACTTGCTGAATCTGTTGAGGCTGTTGTATCCTCGAGGCCAAAACTGCCTGAATCGCCCCGCTAGCTGATCGGAACGGTGCAGTCCTTATGATATTCAGCTTCACCTAAGCAACAAATTTGTATGTGGTTATATAATAGAATTATTTTACACACGAATGCAAAATAATATAACATAAATTTAAAATACTAACCTGTACCGGTGATCGATTGTTAGAAATAGATGCAGGTATGGATATTAATTGCGTTGCTGGATTTGCTCCAGCGATCGTTACAGGTATCTTGTGCGTGTAGATAACTCCAGGGGTCGAGTTGGGCACACTGCAGAGCTGTAGTGTTTGTCCAGGATTACCCGCACTGGAGTTGGCGCTCGTCACCGCACTTTGGACAATGTTGAGAATCTGTCGAGCTCCCGTGGATACTTGCAGATTTGGAATGTTTGTGATGTTCGTGTTCTGCACGGATGCCTGCACAGATGTCTGCACAGCTTTCGACATATTCAAAGAGGTTGACGATTTATTGCCTGCCCGTTGAACATTCGTAGCTGCTCCGGCTGGTGCTGCTGGTGCTTCTGTAACATTAAACAATTTATCTTTTATTATTTGCCGAACATCTCGAAATGATGTATATGCACCGATCAATAAATAATAATAAATGTAAACAAGAAATATTACACTGAAAATACTAAATAGCTAACCGTGTGTGTCAGCTGCAGACGAGGACGGTACAGTCGTTGACTCGGTTGACAAAGTGCAGATGGTTTTGCCGAAGGCTTGTTGGAACTTGGGTAGTCCAGCATTCCTATTGGTCTGCGACTGTGTCGTCTTGGCGTCAGTACCAGCTACAGAAGCGACAGACACCTGTCGCGCAAAACCAATGTTTCCATCCTCGAAGTTCTGCAGAGATAATATGTTCCGTTGGCCTGTGACGATACTCGGACTAACCTGATTACGAAGATAATGGTATCAATCATTATTTGAAGTAGGGATAAAAATAGTAGAAAATATTTCATCACGAAATATTATATTATTCCATTTTTATTTTAAGGTTACTTCTTTTCTTTATTTAAATCAGTTGTAATTCAGAACTTACGAGGTGATAAGTGCCATCTGGTTTACAAAGAACAAGCTGTTGCTCAGTAGTATTGATTGTTGATGGCGATGGCGACTTTTTTGGTGATTGATTCGAGCCGATTCTTTGATTTGCTAGTACAGCTAAAGCGACGGTCCTCGTATTATCTATGGAATCCATGGTTGATGTATTCGTAGAATCTACCATAAAAATCATTGAATAACAATATATTCAATTTGCATGAAAATAAAAAGTAAATCTAAAATTGCAACTGGGTACGATATAACGAACAATTTATTATTTATTATTTATTATGGATCGAATCTGTAAAAATAATTTTGAAAACGTTATGATTGAAAAATTAATGAAACAACGTTATACTAACTCAATATTATTAAGCATTATTGTAATTATCTTAAGCTAAAATTATATTATGTAAATGAAATTGTTAATATACAATGATAAAAATGTATTAGAAACGTAATTTAATTAAAAAGCAAATACCTTTTCAATAATAATATTTAAAAATGGTGTCAAAACAAAAGGTAGTGTACCTAATCCAGGTGAAGTATCAGGTGGTTGATTGGCTTCCTCACCGACATCCTGAAGGGACGAGGATCTGGTGGGAGGAGGTGGTGTCTGTCCTGCGGGACTCATTCCTACGCCACTATCGTGTCCGCCCGACGACGGGGTTCCTGGCAATTGGATGTTGCTACGATTACGTGGTGGTGTATTACTCGAAGCATTGGAATTTGGACTCTGCGATATATTACGCGTTAACTGAACTACGTGGACTGTTGACTGGACACGTGGTAGCACTGAGAACTCCATTGAACGCATACCTGGTACCGTCTTCGATAAGATTTGTTGAAGTTTGGACTTTGCTGTTGTATTCTTCCGTGGCCTCGTCTATTTAAAAAACATCATTTTAATAATATATTATTTCTTTGAATTTTACATTTTATTCAATATAACATTTATAAAATATTTATGCAGAAAACAATAATTATATACAACTATTTATTATTAATAAAAATTATATCGTACAAAATTAACGAATGTTTATAAAATATTTTCTCTTTACATATTTCATATTTTAAATATAGTTTTCCGACGAAAGCTAAATTACCATATCGAGCAGTTAATTCGAAATAAAATAAAACATTTAATTTTGAAATATAAAAAAGGAATATACATTTGTTGAATGCGACAAAAAAAAATTCCTTCAAATCAGAAACAATGGATTTTATAATCAATGAAGCAATAATAAAATATTCATTATGTACATAATTACACACACAACTACACAAGTTATTACACACGAGATCAGAACTCTCCCATTCAACTAGTTTTAATATAAAAATCTAATGAGATTGATCTATCTAGGATCTACTCTAATGATTAGATAAGTCAGCAATGACTCAAAGGTTACGGTAACATTATGTTTATTGTTAAAAGAACAACATCCAACTGTTTACTACGTAAATTTGAGAAATAGATATAAAATAAAAATAGGTATGTTTGTTTATTAACGTTCTTGCTTGCTTCATTCTTAATCACAACTTGAACAAAACGTATTTATATTTTTATTCTTTTACTGTCTTAATTCTAAATTTATTAATGTAAATTTTTTGTTTGTTTGTTTGTTAATGTATATAGAAAAATGCATAGAACAAATTAATATTTAAATAAATAAGAAAAGTCTTTACCAATGTTTTTTGCTTAGAAAAGCCAGTTAAGGAATTTTTATTGGAAGAAAATGGTATGGTTTTTTGTATATTCCTTAGTTCATCACTCAAATCTCCAGCAGTGACCTGTTGTTTCTTTTGTTGCAACGCCAATTTTTTATCGATTTCATCGACTCTTCTCAAAGCAATTTTCGGATTGAGATTTAATGTGCTGAGCATTGGAGCGAATTTCGTTGACATACCATTCTCATTATTTTCATTCATGTTGTTATTCTCTTTCTTTTTGCTAGTAGCGTTGATACTATTGGATGATTTTTTATTGACCTGTGTAAGCTTTTTAGAATGTGGCCTGAACATGCGTAGGGATTTAATGACTTCGGGATCACTACGCTTCTCCGTAATTATTAGTTGTGCAGCATTAAATGCCGCTGAACCTTTAATAGTTTCGCGCTTATTCTCATCCATATCTGCCGAGAAAAGGGTCATAATGTCATTATTGCTATTGTCACCAACGCCGTCTACGCCACTACTAGGTCGGATATTTTCATTTACAAGCATATGAAAATGAGATACTGAGTCTACCGTTAGTTTTGTCTTCTTTGGTCGTCGCTTTGTTATCTAAATAAAAATATTTATACAATATTAATTTTAAAGAACTTCTTTAATAATACATTCATCTATAAATAACAATGTAAAATCTATACAGTAAAATTAGTTACAAATACATTAAAAAATATTCACTAAAACTTCTTTATAAATTCAAATTATTTTTAAAATTGTTTCACATTTAATATTTTAAATAGTTTAAATTTAATATTTGAAAATATTTTGCTTATAATTTATTTGTATATAAATTATACATAAAAAAAATTAAGGTTTTTGAGGTATAAATGAGTTATATATATATATACAAATCTTAAAATCAAAATATAAATAAATTAACAGGCTATGATGGAATGTACCTTTTTGGTGCCATTGCATGTTTTCTTATTCATCTTTAATTCTCGCTTAAATCCATCGCTTCCTAAACTATCAGTTTGACTATCCTGTGTGTTAATGTCGCTCTCAGAACTCGATATCAAAGCTTTTCTAAATCTTTGTTTGGACTTACGATGCCGTACATCGTATTCACTTTCTGACGACTCAAGTCGCGGCACCTTCTTTGGCCTGCCTCTTTTCACCGGCTGGGCAACTACGTTCTCGCTGTCTGTATCTGAGCTATCATCAAGGCTACGTCTTGTCGGCGCTTTCGTAACTGACGACTGCTGGAACATGTCAGATTCCGAGTAATCTGAATCATCCCATTGTTCATAGCCTTTTTCAATACCATAGAAAAGAGCATCGCGTGGATCGTCTTCGTATGGCTGATCTTTGAACTGCGAATAATCAATGTTCAGGTACTTAAGCTCCTTATTTGTATTGCGCATCTCTTCAGCATTTTCAAGATACCTGCGTAATATTAAAGAAAATTATTTTATATAAAATATAAATAAAAATAATTATATAAAATAATTTAGATTTCTGATATATTTTTATAATAAAATTAATTTTAGAAAATTGCAATTCTTTTTACTAGAATTAAATTAAATTAATTAACTGGGAACTATTTTTTAATACTTTTTCCTTGTAACTGAATATTTTATCTTTTTATTTGATTTTTTAAATGCCCTTGTACAATCAATGACATCTTCATTTTCATCAAATACATCAACATTATTTTATTTTACTTTATCAGGGAATTTCTTCCATCTTGCAGTTGCATAATTTTTTATTTAACAGTAGTCTGCTCAATAATTGAAATAAAAAATAATTAATATTAATGAAAAAATTTCCGGAAATAGATAAATATACTTGAGCAGAATTTTTTTAAATTAATATGAAAACCGTTTACTAATCTTAATTAATAATAAGATAAATTTGAAAATTTTATTTTCCATTTTAATACTAAGTAGTTACAATTATATCATTGGTAAAATAAAGGAACAATGGAGGGGTATAACATTTTAATTCTTAAAATTACCTTTCACAGAGTTCGCTAAGTTCTTTCCAATCTAGCCACCAAGTGAGTACATGATACCGTTGACTACTTAATACAACGGCAAGATCGTCACAAAGTTGTGGACTTATCCCGAGCTTCTCGCCATCTAGCACTTGACTGGGCACTGCCTTCTCATCATAATTAGCTGAACCGGTTACGGCATGGCCTTTAATAAGGATTAATGCGCCCTGATTCCTTTCAATAATTGGTGCAATCCTTGCAGATGGTTCATCTTGATTGGTATCCCTTTTTATTTCAGACAACATTTCTTCTTTAATTACCATATCTTTGTCTGTATCGATCTTAATCTGTAAAAAAAAAAATAGTTATTTTCCTAGTTATATTTATACGAATAATTGCACTTGTGAAAAATTGTGGTATATTTATAAATATTCGATTTATTTCATGTATATAATTCAATGTGACCTAGTACGAAAATATTTTTAAAATACTGATAAAATTTAATAATAAATTAATATAAATTTAATATTCTTATAATAAAAAAGGTTTAAATATCCCAGCAAGAAAAAATTATTAATATGCTGTGTTATTTATTTTAATGCATGCTAATCAATGTGATAATATAATAAATTTTAAACAGACTGTCATAGGATTTTGCGAATGGCACTGCTGCTGACTCCGGTTATCCGAGAAACTTTCTTTCGACTTGTCTTTCCTTCTCAACGTCTTAACCACTGTTGACTCTTCTTTTATCCTTGACTTTTCCATCGTTGTTAGCTCTAGCGTCATTGTCGGATTACCATCATTCAACTGTACACAGACTGCATTCTCAATCGACGTTATTTCAATATCATCTAGACTCGTAGACTCCTCGCATTTTATCTCTTTTTTCATCTTTTCCGTCTAAAATAAAAATAGTATGCTATAATTATTCCCAATTGATTTAATGTACAAATAACTTCATCTAAATTAAACTATTCATATTAATTTTAGACTGTTATTTGATAAAGATAATAGTATCATTCGGATTGTAACAATTTATAATTAAACTAAAGTAGAATGAATAATAAATTTATATTGAAATATTTATCTAAAAAATTAATTTTCAATAATATTAAATAGTCTTAACATTCTCTATCTCATATTATATTAGATAATACAAACCTAAATCGTTCTATTATCAATTACTTAATAATATTAATTCAATAAAAATAATTTAACTGGAATAAAATATAGAAAGAATAGAAAACTTATGATTATATATTTTAATTCTTCTGTTTAAGATAAATTATTATCTGTGGCGCGCAGATAGTTCGACACGCCTGATATGCATTAACAAACAGTTGTATATACTACCCACTCGCGCATGCGTTTAAGTAATAATGCATTTATACTCGTATTTGCGTATCTCGATTCGTACGTAAGCGCGCGTATTTTTTACACATGTATTATTTACACTAGAATAGTTTAAAAGATAGTGAAGTCAATGTCGAATTTCAGATGTAACGCTGCAATATACGAAGCTCATCTATTGATAATTGAAAATTTATATTAACTAGTTTATGGTTTAATTATAATAAGGGACATAAATTGTTAAACACAATTTTTAAATATATGACTGTATACTAAGAAAAAAATCATAATAATTTTATGGAAAAAGAGATTTAATATTTAAATAATCGTATTGTCACAACGACCTTTTTTTTGTAATCAATATTATTATTAATGCCAATTCAGGACAAGGTTTATTAGTTGACATTGTAAAAATAGGTTAATATGATTTGAATCCATTACATTATATAGTAGATATTTAAAAAATTAAGCAGTACTATTGAAATAATTTAAAAAAGAAAATAGAAAAAGAAGAGTTATTTATATTTTTGGTGTTGCCTGTCCAGGTGTATTGAAAGAAAATAATGAGGAAAAACAAAGATATGATTGGTCTCGACAGTCCGTTCGATTAAGCAAACTTTCGTCGTTAAAATAATGACCTTGATTTTGGTGTTAATATCTGCCTCGAATTTAGTTTCAGCTCCTTTAAATAGCGCTTCCTTGGATGCATGGGCCTCGCGGATTATCTTGCCGCAAGCGATGGCCATATCCTTAATCCGATCGTAACAGGCTCTGGTTGGATGCAGCGAAAATGCGGTGAGCACACACTCGCGAGCGATGCCAACGCTGTCGCTCACATAATCGGCCAGTTTGAGGAACTCCTGACTGAGCCGCTGTGCTGTCTCCTGGACTTTCTCTTTGTCGCCCTTGGATTTCTGGTTCTCTAATTCATTCATATCCGTGGTCAAGGCGCGAATATAGAGTTCAATCACCAGCGGTTTTATTGTATCGCCAAACTGTAAAATCGTGGTGCATAATTAACCTTTGTTATCGTTTATGTCTCGTTGAGTCCGGGACATTCGAGCGTTCAAAGCCAAACTTACATGCTTAATTAACACCCCGCAAAATATGTATATATGCTGAGCGCTCTCCGCTGGCTCAATTAACTTCCTAATGATGCCGGGCAGTGTTGCGACGACATCCTTAGACTTGGCGTGTAAGAGTGCCCATGAGTTGAGGATCTGCTCGAGGGTGGCGGCGCTTACCTCGGCCAGGGGCCTCACCATACCTGTCGTCACGAGGTACTGGGCAACGAGCTCCGCTGCTTTACTCGAGTTTCGCCAGACGCGCGCAGTTCCATACTTAGTTGGCTTCTCTCCGCTCAGCCTCTGCATAAGTTCGAGTCCATCCTTCAGGTCCATTAACTTTAACTGCAATCGTTAACAGCGCGATGATTAGTAACGTTCTTATGGATAGGTGTTGAGATCATAAGTCACTTCAGATGAGAAACATAATGGATTGACTCGTGAGTACGCACGATAGTAAAACATATGTGCGTGCGTGCTTGCGCGCGCGCGTGTGTATGTATGAATCGTTTACAAGTTTTCGTACTTTGAGTTACGATTACATTTCTTAATTTGAAGTGAGCTTGAAACGTTTCCTTTACATCAACTACACGTTGTTTATAATTTTTTAATAACCAGTGCTATAAGAATCAACTCAAAGAATTTCAATTTTTTAATCGCTTATCGGCTAATAGTCTTTCACGAACTCAGTAAATAATGCTTATTTATTCGAATGTCCGTTCTTACTTCAATTTCTCAACAAATGTCATTCTACAGTGTTATTAGTAATATTCGCTAGTACATTATTTTGTAAAAAGCACTCACTTGGGCGACGATATCGTGGGTGCGTTTGAGTTTGTACAATAAGACGATATAGACGTCGATCATATAGTGGACGTGGCCAGGTTCGGACAGTGATCGCAATCGCTCGTTCCTGCGCAGCGAACGAACGCATGCTGCGGCGAGGTTCACCGCAATGTCCTCGCAGCGATCCTCGCATAGTATCTTTAGCCTCATCTTTAATAGCTCTCCTTTCTCTTGACAGCAGAACTCTATAATATGTTGGGCCAGCAGAAAGCGAACCACATGGTTATAATGTTCAAAAAGTATTTACTTTGTCGAGCCTACCTTCCTCCTCATGTTCGGGATTCAACTGGCCGTTAAGTATCCTGTCGAGGGCCGGTTTGCCCCATGGATCCTGAACAAAGTCGATAAGCGCCTGACAACGCTTCGCCGAAGGATGCTGCTGCTGGACAAGTTGACTCGCGCACCTCTGCAGCGTCACGTTCAGGTGCGTCCTCGTCGCAGGTGCAAGCTTCGGCCATTCGCCGCGCAATACCAGTTCGAGCGTGTGCCTATAGGATCGGCGGGATTAACTTTGTAAACATTGATTCAATAAGACATCCTAGCCCACGCTGTTGGGAATTTGGAAACTTTGGTATAGAGGCAATAAAAAAAAAGGATCTGGTTGTGTTATTTCGTTTGAGTGGATCGAATTTGTGGGAACAACGATCAATACTGGAGGGAAACGAGAGGAAGGTTCGTGAATACGAATGTGTCGTCATATGACCAAAACATACAGTTCACAAATCAATATTAAGTTGTAAGTTTTGGATAAAAACAAGATTTTTAGACGATCAGTGCTGCTGATCGGTAATTAAGCATCAAATACATGTACTCGATCTTAAAAATTGTAGGCACGGCAACCCATAGCTACACATTTTTAAATAATACTCATATTTTTTCACGATAATCTATTTTCGAATTTAGTATCAACGAGTAAGCCCCCCCCCCCTATTTTAAAAGAATTTATTTCATTCTCGGGATAATATCGTATAAGTAGACTCTCACTTCGAAGGCTCTCAGTTAAATAAATTTTCGACGATTTATATCGAACGGCTTTTCATGCGTTCGACAATCTAATAAATAATAATATGAATATGAGTAAAAATTTCTTTTCTGTTCGGTATTCCGTGATCAAACTACTAACACCTTTATGCATGTGAATTCATCAAATTTATTAAATTTACAAAAGAATTGAAAACACTTTAGTGTAAAGTACCTCTTATAAAAATTAAACTTAAAATAACATTACAATATTTCAGAAAATAATATTCATAGAAATATATAATACAAAGTATTTATGAAGATTCTACTTATGCGTGCGCACTGATTCCCCATATATTAAACAATATGAAAGGCAAAACCATTAAAAGCTTTAATTAAAAACTACTTCTGAAGAGTGACAGTCGATATTTTCAGATAAATGTATATCAAACGAGAAGTTTAGTTTTTAAGATATAATTGGAATTTTAATAATTAATTAGTTCTACTATGATACTTTAAAATATAATTCAATGATGATGTTACATTTAATTAGATATAGTATGAGCTTAAGAAACGTATTTCAATATATTGTACATTACACATTACGAAGAATTATTAAAACGTGCGATACATTATAAAAATAAATCTATAAATAATTAGACATTTCGCATCGATCGATAAAATTAAGGAAATATAAATGAATAATCATTAATTTTTGTTTAAATATAATATCGTAAAAATCGCAGTGTAGTTTATTAATATAAAATGCTTTCAATTAGAAACTAATTTCAAACTATTTAATATAATTAAAAGAATTTAAATATAATTTAGCTTATCCACTGAGTCTTTTAAAACCTTGAAAAAAAACGAGTATTTTAAATTATTAAATTTGCTCTGTGTTTTAGAAAATCGAGCCCATTTAGAAAAAAAAGCCATTTTTACAATCATTTATTTCATAATATTGGAGGAGTATACATTAAAGAGTAAATAGTGATTGGAACGAGGTGGAGAAAAGGAGCGCGAGCCAGATAATCAGCAAACTCATTTTGGAGACTTACTCGTTCGCCCATTCTATGAGAGACTGGGTTGTCTCTGAAGTATTAGTAATATAATTGGTGACATGCTCCCAAGCGGCCAAAAGTGCATTCACCTTATCGATGTATTTCCTCTTGCTGTCACTCAATGTCGCTTCAAGCCCCTGCAATTCATCCGAGTCGGGATGAGAAATAATTTTACCAATTTTTATTATCAGTTACATGCTTAAGTATTAGAACTACATAAGGATTGTAAGCACAAATGTTTAGAATTCACTTATTAGCGAAGGATCAATTTAGGACATTATTTACAGGACGTATTCGTTGAGCAACAGCAATTAGATTGAGGGTTGTGTTGAATAAGCATATAATTATATAATGATATCGATACTTAATAAACGGGGGTTAACGGTTTATTAGTTATTTATGAATTATTTATATTTAAGAGTATAAAGCTATGATACAAATTCATAAGCAATCATGTGAATAAGTGATTATATTATCTTTATAGTATTTATAAAGTTAAAGAAAAAGAAGTAAGAATAAAAAAAAAATAAATACAAATATTAATATTTGTTAAGTTAGATGGAAATTTATTTAAGATGAAACGAATCTTAATTTAGAATGTGATACCAAACGCAGGCGAATGAAAAGGAAAAGTAAAAAAGGTAGATAAATTTTGAAACTTGAGAAATAAAAAAGTATTTTTGAGCGTAGTTTTCATGTTCTTGATCAGAACATTTCTCTATAAAATAAGTCTTCGCGTGCCAATGGTGGAGTAAAAATGACAAATGAAAATATGCGAAACATACTATTCTATAATTTGCATTCATCTCAATTTATTGAAGAAATGATGAAAATAAATGATCAATATCTTTTTTTTATTGAATTAAGAACATATACATTAAGTAAAATGAAAATACAGTTGTGTCGCAATTTAAAATTTCCTTACATTGGTCAGACAGTTCTTTATGTAAAATTTAGAACATATATTTTAAATAAAAGAAAGAACATTACGAAATAATATTTATTCATATTTATGTATATGAATATACATAACATGATCAAATGTACGTTCCACAATGTACGCGGCATTGCAATTTATTCGGGAAAAATTACCATGGATATGTGCAATAACCGAGGTACATTGAAAATACGAAATATGAACTTGTTAGATAATGATTATTGTCCATATTTTTTTTATTATTCAAAGATATTTTAAAATGAAATACTTAATAATACTAAAAGTATAAAATATTATATTATTTTTAATGATTTAAAACTTCAGATTTTTCATTATTATTGTCTTACATCGCTAAATTATTTTAACACTAAGTGTAAAAGTTCTACGTTAGATGAATTTGCTATTTTATCACATACACCAACAAAAACTTAAATTCTATTCTTCAAGAAAATAACTTTTAATGAAATATATATGAATACAAGAAATATTATTAATCTATTATGAAAAGCTTCTTTAAACTATTTTTCTAATTAGAGTATTTAGAAAAGTAACAATATTTATTCGTTATAGTATTTTTCTAGCATTTTAATATAAAATTTTACATTACTTTTAATGTTATTATAAGTATTAAAATTACCTTTATAATAAAATAATGGTATATTTATTTAGATCGAATTTTTTTTGTAATAGTATTATCTCGTAAAAACAGTATGAAAAAAAAAGTTTTTCAAACTTTTTGCATAAATATTTAATGCATATTTGTAAATGAAAACAAATCAATAATTATAGAAAATTAATTAAGCGGTAATAAAATGGACATTAGTAGTATGAAAATGTCATAAAAAATTAAAAGATTGAAAATAATGATACAAAAGCAAGGAATAAAAATGTGAAGAGCATATACAAAGAAAAGATAAAAGTTAGCTTTCTCAATTTCCCGCAAGACTCAAGTAAACAGATGCTTGATGAGAAATTCGATTCTCAAGGAGTTGCTAGTTTCCTTTAAAATATTTCATAAGCCCTGAGAATAAGTAGATACAAATTTCCGAAATTACAGAAAAAAGCAAGTTTCATATATTAACATATTATGGATATTGAATTTTTTATGAAACCGAAAAGTAAAAAAATCTAATTAAATGGTGTCCATGGATCTACTTTATTACATTATTATATTTTTTATATTCAAGCATATAATTAATGCATATTTGCACAAAAAATATTTATGATCATTAACTTATTAATTTCAATATAATTGTATTAAAATCAATATTACAAAAATTAATAAAACTTATGACAACAATCATTATTAGAATATTTAATTAATGCTGTTTTTATATAGTTCAAGGCACAGGCCAATAATATATTCATAAACTTATCAAAATTAAAAAATTGTAATAATTGTTATGCTATGTGCAATACACTATGTGCATTCTCTTATATTTTTTCTAAAGTCAATTAACATACATTAATGGAATTAATTATGGTACGAATAAAATTCCAATTATAATTACAGGATAATTAATGGATCGTTTGTTTCAATTGCGTAATTTAACGGTTGAAGCTTGGAAGAAAGTCTGAAAATAGAAAATCGATTTTTATTTTTAAGATTCGCCTTACGCTGTTAAACTCGATAAAAATAAAAATTCAAGCCTCCGTTTAAAAGGTCTGCTATCTATTACGTAATGAAGTAAAATTCCGAAAAATAATATATATATATATATATATATATATATATATATATATATAATGGTGAAACAAAACACCTATTATATATTTTTTCGAAGGTTTATATGCCCTCCTGTATCAAGAACGTAAGAAGTTCCTCTCTTTGAATTGTTAAGGGGACTGGAGCCAAGTAAAAATACCCGTATTGATGATATCGAAGAATTAAGAAATAATAGAAACAGCATTTTTCATGCGAGTGCGCATTGAAGGTAGCTAGAAAAATCTACTTATTTCAATCCTCGAATGATCAAATACAATTTATTTATTTCACAAGTAATTTTTACTTTTTGTAATTGATGAAAATCCATTAATAGAAATATATTTATAAAACATTTTGCTTTCCTTTAGAATCCTGCAATATATGTGCATACTATTTTGTATTATTTCGTAAAGTAAATTTTACTCTTAATATAAAGAACATTCAATTATTAAGGACTTTAATTGAAGTTCTTATATTAGAATCAAATTATTGAAAATTATTCTGCTTATTGTTCGAAATAAAGAGATAAAAACTGCGTATAAAAAATAAAATACAAAAAAAAAATATAATACGTAAAATACTTACATAATGTTTTGTAACAAATAAATAAAAATTATTGATAATTATATATAGTAATATAATTTGCAAATATTTACTTTTATAATAAGAAAGGTATTAATTAGGGATATTGATTATCATAAAATATAATAATTATTATTTATCAGTTATTTTTTTAATGTAATACAATAAAAAAAATGTATAATGTTACACTTTTTGTAACAGTATTAGAAAAAAAATGAATATAATGTCGTCCTCGTAATACAAATTATAGTAATTTTTAATTACCGGTTAAGAATAACCTAATTAAAAAAATGGAAATATTATATTACAGAGATAAATTCAAATATACAATATAGGCTAAATTAAAACAATCTTTTAATTAGAGCTAATTTTTACTCTGTTTAAAATCGATTATACTACCTTAATGCTTCAATTATTAATAAAAATTATTACAGAAAGTGTGGTAAGATTAAAAATATGAAAAAATGTGATGAACTAAAGAAACTAAACAAGAAATTTGAAATGTTAATGAGTTTAAAAATACTGTCTCGGTCAACGTTATTGTTGCGTATAAGAGTTATTGTTGCATATTGCTTTTCAACATGATAAGAAATACTTATGGATCCTAATAGTCTTGTGCTAAATAGTGTAACGTTGGTATTAACGTAACGCAGATAGAAATATGGGGAAGTTTTTAAGTAATGATTTGTTTTTTGTTTAAATTAAATCGATTTTTTTATCCAAATAAAATTTTATAATAGTCTTTATTACTATATTATCATGCATGTGATAATGGGACAGATATTGGATAATTTAATATTTAGTTTAATACTTAAATTTTTTAATTGCTTAAAAGTGTCTTTAAAAATTATATTTGTATACTTCTTTACTCGTTTATTTTAAATACATTTATCAGCATATTCTTTTTCCCCAATTTTTTGAAAAAAAAACTTCAATAATATTTCAGTACGTATTAATTAAATATTATGTTTTGTAAATATAAACAAGTTTTAGTTTTTCTATTAATGTCGAATATAAAATTTTGATATTAATTGTTATATGTTATTAATTGATTACGTAAAGTGTTATTTTTTCAATTTAAAAAGCTAAAACTTAGACAGGAATAAATTAGATTTTATAATATATAGTTTACTTATAATGCAGGATATAATTTATTTTATAAGCTTTTAATAATTTATTATGAAACATTTTTAAAAGCACACACACGTAATACTAATTACATACAGTATAACATAATTTATTAGAATATTACAATTTTACAACGTGTTAAAAAAAAAAGTATAAAATAGCTTGGATATAATAATATATTAATTTTATTTGTGTAAGAACCATTAATAGTGCATATGAATAAACATTGTATTTTTAGAATTAAACGTAATATTCACATATCTTATATCTTATTGAATAACTAAAATATAATAGCCTTCTCTAATTAAATTGACATATTATTAGTTAACATTAGACCTTATTAATAACATTATATTTTCTTAATTTAACATATTACTATTTTTAACGTACAGTAAAAATATTAAATATTTGATTTTTACCTCAGATTTTTATCTCAGATAAATTCAATTACGCAAAAGAATTTTAATTAAGAAAATTTTTATATTATAAACCTTTTTTAATGAATGCATAAATACAAATAGACATAAGTATAATAATTTTGTATAAAAATTAAAAATAGAAAATAATAGAATAATTTTTACTTAAAGACACATATGAGCGACACTTAGAAAATTTGTTAAGCTCGATCTAAATCAATAGGATAAAAGCACCAATAAATGTGAAATGAAGAGATACAAAGTATAAAAAGAAATAAAATTCTTTGCTTCCTTCAAGTACTGATAAAAAGTAAAAAAAAAATTTACTGGTAGTAATTTCGGCTTTTTTGTTTGACTAAATTGACTTATATATATATCTCATACATTTTTGTGAATTTATGACAATGATAATCATTGTTTAAATACTATAAAAGAGCCTTTATTAATCATTTTTATAAAAAAGATTTTATTTTTAAGCTTCGACATGAAGTAATCATATTCGTTCTGAATTAAATTAAGTTACTTATAATAATATGTCATAACTATACGAGAATATTAAAATAAAAAAGATAAAAGCTAGCAATTAAAATTGAAAATAATAAATTTGATAAATAGGGTATTCCTTTTGAATTCTTACATATAAAATAATGAAAAACGTGTCAGGAACATTTTTTCATATTAATTATTGATAAATTATATGTAAAATATTTTTAAATAATTTTTTTTAATCTAAATATCTCAATGTTTACTCAAATTATTAGCACTAATAATTGTAATCTAATAAATTAAATTTTTTTTGTTAGAAAATTATTTTTGCTGTCTTCTTAATCAACAGTTTACTTTAATACATTAGGTGATAAAAAGGAGGTTAAAAGTATTTGAAACCCTGCAAGTACCGTGAACGATCTAACATTCTCAACTTAATACTTAATCTCTTGTCATTATATCTACCAACGAAAAAATATATATATATATATATATATAAACGAGATCATTCAATGATCTTTTTAATTAAAGAAACTTATAAACTAATTATTTAAAAAAATTATAAATATTATGATGGCTTAAGTTTTCAAATCACAATAAGGTAGAAGGAATTAAAGATTATTAAAATATAAAAATTGTATGAGCACAAAGTTGATATTTAAAAGGATTGTTATAAAATTTTAGAAAATAGAAGAAAGAAATTTTTATAAAAATTAACACGCATTATCAGAGTCATATACATGTATCGTAATTATTTTGATAATTACAAAAACAAAAGAATATGAACAAATATGAATTTATTTTATGAGTGCAATGTAGGCTGCTCATGTGTATCACATGTTTTGCACTATTTACATTATTACGTGATCGTAGGTGTCCTCGTCTCTACAATGAAATTAACATACCAATACATAATTCTCGACCTCTTGTATATTCATATTATAGAATAAATCCTCCCATGTCCACGCACTCTCTCTCTCTCTCTCTCTTTCTCTCTCTCTCAAATGCATTGATTTGATATAGTTTTTTTATTAGATTGATGAATTTGTATTTTTATATAAATATTAATGTAAAAAAAACATTTTATACATACATTTTTCTTTAATGAGATATTTAATTACAGTTTGATAACCCAAGTCTAAATTAAAATATATATATGAAAAATTCGAAATACCAAATACATAAAAGTAATTTACAATTTTTAGTTTATGCCTTGAATATAAAAAAAGTTAACGAGTTTTTTATTTTTATTAAGTATTTTGTATATAAAATCGAAAGTTATATTAAGATCTTAGTTTCATCAATTTATAGTAAAATTATATTTTCATATCAATGTAACTATGTGTGATACACCTACAGACGATATTGTATTATTCTGATATTAAAAAGCATTATTTTGTCTTTGATTTGTGTAATCTTTACAAAGCTAAAATAAATTGAAACTATGGAAATGAGTTATTAATTGATTCACATACTTTACAGTTCATATGCTAATTAATCATTACAACAGCACAGTTATTATCTTTTATAAGTGTACGAAACAAGTTCTTTAGTCTAATGGTAATGTTAGTATTTATATGTTAACAAAGTAATGTTTTCATGAAAAAATGTACAATGAATACCCAAAGCATTAGAATTATTACAGCTTTAACATAATTTTTAGTAATATATTTAATTAAACGAAAGTATAAGAATTAGTAATACCGATAAAAGTAATAATGAAATTCTGCTTTCAATATACATTAATGAAAAAAATATTAAATATAAGAATAAATAAATAAGCCCATTATATTTTGTATTTCGTTTCTTTCTCTTTTCTTTTTATAAGTTATATAAAAAATTTGTAATTTTGATTAAAAACATCAAATAAAGATTTTTAATTTTAATAATTTAATTTAACATCAAAAATAAAAAATATATAATTACCCTGCATTAATATGTCTGTTTGTTTTAAATGTAACGAATAAATTTATATTGAAAAATGAAGAAATTAATGTGTACTATTTTATTTAGTGTTTCATTAAATTATTTCCATACATTCTATTTATTCTTTTAAAAAATCCTAATTTTTCTATTAAATAAATACTATTGAAATCTAACAATTATTTTTAGAAAAATTCATATTTTTTGTTGCTAATATAAGATATATGTTAAAATGTTATTGACCTACTGAAATGCAATAGATTGTCTATTTTTAAAAGACAACTTGTTTTTTTTAAGTTTATGTGTTCAAGTCTCAATGTTCAATTATTTAATTGCAATTTAATTATATTTTATCCATAAGTTTTATTGAAGTCTTATCACGGATTACTAATATTGAAAATGTTTCAAAACCAATTTATTTAAAACAATTAAACGAAAAAAGAAACGAATGTAAAATAATGCAAAGAACATTTAAAAATTATTAATATCATAACAAATTTTTATATGAATAAACTAATCGGTAATTATCCATAATATTGAATATTAAAATTAATTTTCGCAGTTTAGAATTGAACGGTTAGTAATTAATTCATATTTTCCTGTCTCAATAATTATATAATATTCATCACTATTCATAAATAATTGTAGTAAAAATGTTTTAAACTGTAGATTAATTCTGTCAATGCTATTACTATACTTGCATTGTTCATTCTAAAAATTTACTTTGCAAATTTTTGTTAAAATATTTGAACTTATTGTGATTTACATTTTTAATATTAAAAAAAAAAAAATTTTTTTTGGATGAAGTTGTTGAAAAATAACAATTGCAATTTACGAATAGCTTTGCCAATAATGATCCTTTAGTAAATGTTATTCTTCCGTTGAACAAAAATATTTTAATATTATTTTTATCTCAATTAACCATAGCAAATTTTCTTTGATAATTAGTAATATTAAATATTTATAATATACAACTTAAAAATAAACCAAGTACTTTTGTTTAATGTTTTTTTATTATCTGCGTAAACTATTTATTCAACAAGAAAACCTCTTATTTTAAAGTAGACTCTAAAAGCTCGTTATTTCAGAATGTCATGCTTTTTCTGACTGACTAATTCCACTATTTAATCTTATCATGATCTTAATACTTATTCTATACGTTTTATTTCGAAAAATATAATAGAATTTAATCTTTTATGACGTAAATCATTCTGACTTGCACTCTTGCCAATTTTAAGTAGAATACATAAAAAGATGCTTCATTTTTATTTAAATATGTTTTTTACGACTATTACCAAAAAGTCTGTTAGTTTTTAGTTATAAATTTTATTCGAAACACATTACGGAAAAATATTTTTAGTAAATTTAGCTTGTGGTTTCTGTCACGGGAAGTAATCGATACGGGTACTCGATAATATACCATAAACAAGAAATCACTTCTATTTGCATATTATCCAAATTCCCGTGAACTCCATATACATAATTGTCCCTTATATAATAAAAAATGAATACATCAGCAGTATATTGCAAGAGGTTAGTTAAACTTATTATGAGCGATATCCGTGAATTTAATTCGACGAGCAGAAAAGCTACTTTTCATATTTCGAGAACGAACTTCAAATGGAATTAATTTTATATGCGTCATTGTTGTATTAATTTGATACTAGGGATAACGGCGGGCAATAACAATAGCAAATGCATATAAATTCACATTTTCCATAAATCAATGCACTCTTTCACATTTATATATCGATCTCATACCTTAAGGGATAAACTAAATTTGTTGGATTCATTTTAAGAAGGGAAATTTATATGAAAACATCTGTATAATTATATGTTTGTATGTAGATAATGGACAGGCAGAAATGTAAAGAATAGAAGGAGTGAAAAATTGAATTAACGATAGGTTTTTTTTTTATATAATAATATGTAAAGTTCTATAAAAAGCAGAATCAATGGAGTAGTGTGACTTGTATCCGAAGATAAGCAAAAACTGCAAACCGCTGTTTCATAAGCTCAAAACGAATAGCCACCTGAATAAATGTTATTTGGCATTGCCTAGCTATTCGTAGAAGCGCCGTAAAGCATCGACGAAGCCGTAACAAAAATAAAGAAAGAAAAAAAAGGAAAGAAAAAAAAGAATGAATGAATGAGAAAGAGAGGGAAGACTCTTATTGTAGAATAGTGACAAAGGAAGTGCCCTTACCACGCACGACTTCTGTATGTTCGAAGACATTCAGAGCCGGGCTGGCTGGCGGTGGCAGAGCACCGGTGCCTGCAGCTCGTCCTCTCACGGGCACCACCAGCAGCTCCGCACTCTTCCTCCGCCTCCTCGTCCTCCGGCGCCCTGGTGGGGGCCGCAGCGGGGCCTGTCGGGGTGTGGGTTTGGCCCAAGGGCGCCGGCGCCACCACCGGCCGGGCCCTGGCACGACCAACGCGCTGCTTCTGTCGCTGACTGGTGGGCTGCTGAGTCGGTAAGCCAGTACCCGGCTGGAGGACATCAGCGGTGCTCCTGCCCCCCGGCCCCCACCTCACCCCGATCCGTCGTACTCGCGGCCTTGATAACGCTGACCTGAAAGACAAGAGAGACCAGACGTCAAGACAAGTACTAGTCTTGAATACCTACGTCCAACCATTTAGCAAAGATGTACTATCTCTACCGTCCTCATCATCATCATCATCATCATTATCATTATTATACTGTGATTATGTTTATTTGATAATATTTTTATCGAATTCATTATCGAAATATCGAAAGTCATCATATTATCAAAGGACATTGTTGACGATGTTAAAAAGAGCTTAAAATATCGAATTAGAATTGTACAAAAAAAAAGTTTATTCGTATGAAAACGTTTTTTAATATTCGATCGAGATATTGAGCAGCCAATATCAGCTATACTTTGTTCTCTAAGCAGTTCTGCAGCTTAATTCGCGCCACACTTTAGAATATAAAGATAATAAAGAATTATTGTTAAGTTTTTTGTGTTCTATGTTTCGCATTAATACTTGAATGTATTTACAATTACTTAAGATTTAACTAAATTCATCAATAATATGTAAAAAAAATTTCTGAAAGAAAAAAAAAAGAAAAAACGATTCAAAACTTTTCATTATAAAACTCATTATTCTACGCAATACATAGAAAAGAATAATTTTAAATTTTATAGTGGAGATAATTTCAAAAACGAACAATGAATTTTCCCCACTATTTTGATAATAAATAACGTAAGTAGTTGGATAAAAAACTAATAACAAATTAGCTATATATAAACGCTATAGTCCCATACTATTATATGAAAACGTAGATTTATTTTATAAATGCGGCTATCGAAATTCAAAAGGATTTGTAGAAATCCAATTAGAAAACGAATGCATATATTTATGCAGAAAATAATACAAGAAAAATTAAAATTTTCGTTAACAGTAAATTATTAATGGAAAAGTTATTTAATCTGTGTAAAAAAATTCAATTTTCTAATTAATTTTAACTTAATCACAGAATAACGAAGTGATTATCCGATTAAATGCAAGTCTGATTTTTCACATGATTCATACATTCTACGATATATATTTTTGCAAATTCAGTAAGGATTTCGTCAGCAATTTTGAGCTTATGAATATATAAAACACGTTATATCCACTTCAATTATCTTACGGCCGTTATTGCGATTGTTATCTCTAATTAGTAACTAACAATCATTCTGTACGAAAATATAAAAAAGGTAAGAGCAAAAGAAAATTGATATTGTCTATGTGAAAAACGATAATTCGAGTCTCATCACATCTTTACAGTTTTGTAATAGCCTTGAATGTACTATTATTAGAAACTGCTTTGCCATTTTGTCTTTCGGTTATATTTGAGATTCGAAGTAAACCTATAAGTGCGTGTGTGCGCATATATCAACTGCATTTTCTACATAACCAGGGTTAAAACTCACAAAATGTTATAAGATTGTATTTTCGTAGATTAAAAAGAGAAGGAGGATTGTCAAGCCGCAGTCTAATATTACGGTTCGCGGCTGACAGATGGAGCGATGAATTTTATCAACAAACCCCATCTTTTCTCGGGACCTGAATCGATAGTAAAACTGAAATGTCATTGCTTATGTTTAATTAAACATGGATAATCTAATGCCTCAGTGCCCATAAATTCGCTTAAATATGAAAATGGCATCATCGTTTTAAATTTTTAATTTCTTTTAAATTTGAAGCATTTCGGTGTTTAACTTATATGTTAATGCGTCATAGAATGTTTCCTACAGCTGAATCTACCGATCGCCAACTCTTTTAAGCAATATTTTCAAGTTTACAAAAGATTACCATTTGTTTATAAATATTAAAATTCAATTGAAAAATACTTAATACTAAGTAAGAAAAGCGGTATCTTTTTAATGATCATCTTTTCAAATTTTTTCTTTTGCATGAAGAATCAAAACTATTATTTCTACCTTTTCTTTAACAAATAAACTAAATAAATTAAATTAATTTTAATAAATAAAGGTATTAAGTTGCTATATATAGATAAAATAATATATATATATATATTTTTTTATTTTTAAAACATTTATTTAATTTTCAACGAATATATATTATAGAATAAAAAATTATAAAAATTAATTGAAATTTCCATTGGAATTATCTTTTTAAAGTGCTTAGCATATTTATCAACTTGGGATAGTTGAAAAAATTTAGAATTTAAATAAATCTGCTATACGATCCCCATTTATCTGCAAATCAAATATTTGTAGATGTTTATTCCCAGCGTACTTACACCGCACGCATTGTTTATAGAGAATGGAAATTTCATTAAAAAATCAATAAGTGTCAAACCATTAGATCGAAATATTTAATAGAATTTAAATGAAATTGTGAGCGTTAAATCGCACGCAAGATACATTCAAGCACATATTGAACATAACGGAAATTTCTTATTTTAAACAAAAAGTTATCGTTGCTTTCTTTCTTAATTTATACGATTTAAAATAAACATTGGCAATTTTTTTTAAAAGTAACATAGCATATAGTTATTTGACTAAAATATTAGCTATTCCAACGAAGCATTATGTGATAAATTATAAGTGTGACATTTACATAAATATGCGAAAAGTCTCTTCCAATTTTTTTTTAGCATTAGAGGTCAAAGTAATTAAAAATAAACCAGAAGGTAAAAAACCACTTTAGTTTGAAATATGTCTATCCTACAATCCTACTAACTAATGCAACTCTAATGCCATGGCATCGTTACATATAATCGTACAAATGGAACAATGCTTACAAAGTAAACACAAATTTAAGAATCCACCAAGTATCAATGAATTGTTCGTACTGTTAATGTAAATAAAGTAGCGTGTTTCAACGATAGGGACGGCGATGACCGTTACGTGTATCTTTTGACAAATGAACGTGCAAGCGCTCCCACAGCACATAATTTCATGCGTACACGTCATCGAACGTAGGTCCTTATAACGCACGCCGCTGTGGCTCCAATCGTAAAGTAACAACAGCGCAGGGGGATGTAAGCGGAAGTTCGTGCATTTTTAACACCTGCACGAGGAAAAGGTCCGAGACAGTCGCCCTTAAACTCTTGACCTCTGTGCCCTAGCTGTACTGTCGTCGCACCTCTTTCAGCTGTCGCTTCGCGTCCTTATATTAAAATTTTCCGTATTTCCTCCCATTTCTCTCCGATTATATATATATATATATATATATATATATCAACAGTATAGACATAAGAAAGAAAAAAATATGCAGTAAAATTAGAACTATTATTTAGACGCAAAAACCAAAGGGGGATAAGTCATATATATTACTATTGCTTTAGGGAGATAACCACCACGTTTTAACAGATATAATACTACTTTTAACCGATAAAGACTTTCTCGTGAACTTTGCTTTACCTATTATTGCTTCAAACTAAACTCAAGTGAATTATATTGTAATTATTTTCAATTCTATACTTCATATTTCTATCTTTAAATATATTTTTGAGTATGTAGGGAGAACAATATTAGATATACAAATCAATATAGATACATTTTATTTTCATATTACTAATTTTTACAACATAATATTCGAGAAAATGTATTTTTTTAAACTAATACATTTACAAACATACGAAATTTGTTTTCTTTTAATTACTAGATAAAAGTTGTAACTTTATTTAATAACGTAATTGTTGAGAATTGTATTTAGAAATAAAAAAAATCGCTTCAATCCATTATTAGCATATATTTAAAAGTAATATAAAATGAAATATAAAATGGTATAAAAATTTCGTAAATATACTAGCATTAAAGATTAGAATAGAATATATTAGATATTATATATTAAAAATATTGAATGCAAAGAATAAATAATCGATAAAAAAAAATTAGCTATGAACAAGAAAGAAAATACGATAAAGGATAACTACAACGATAAAACTAGACTGGTATTATTATATAAAAAAATATCGATTATTTTTATATCAATGTATACGCTTGTTTATTCTAAGGTAATTATTTTAATGCTATAATAAATAATAAAATTATAATATTATATAATTAAATATTATTATACTTGAATATTTATCTAACTCCATTATTATTCAAAGGATATTATGAATATGATAATTTTATAAAATGAATTCTGAATAATGAATAATTAAAATAAAAGGAAAATTGTAGGTAATTCTGTTATTACATCTTTGATTCTCGAGCTATTTTTTCTAATTCTTAACATTCGGGCAGTCTGCTATTTTAGAACGCATATGTTTCAACTTCATACACAGAGAGGAAAAGGGTGTAACATACAGCTAATATTTAAAAATTTTATTATCACTTTTCAAAGATAATGAATCATAAATTCACGTAAGTGTACGAAAAGCATGAACGTATCTAATAATATGACTATTAGATCTAATCAATCTTTAATTAACCACAATAGCCTGTAATCAGCTTTTAAAATAAAAAATTACCAAATGTTCTAACTTACCAATATAAATAACAAATAACGTACAAATTTAGTCGTGGTAAAAAGAAGGGTAGGCAAACAAAGAATAAATGTGTGCAAGTTCACTGAAGAGAAAACGAAGTTGTCTTTTCCTCGACTGCAAAAGTGAGGCTTGATTTAGAACGAAAGTGTGTATAAGAGAAAAGAGGTACGATATGGTCTAAAATTGCAAGTACCAAGTCCATTTCAGATAATAGATGATTTGGTAGATGAAGTTATCTGGGCACTGAGTGAATCTAGGCGTAACAGCATTTATCTCACAACGGATGTCGTGCGCCGGTTCCGTGAAGAGAAAGGAGCCATGCGTATTTATTATGCAATCTCTCTTCTCCCTCTTCTCTCTCTCTCTCTCTCTCTCTTTTATGTTGTTTTTTCAAAATTATAACTAGGCATTTCCGTGTTATTATTTGATCTTGATTGCCCACATTTTTAGCGTTATCCCGTTACTCACGCTGCGACCATCATCAGAATTTTCTCTGTGCCTCACATTTTTTACCCAGCCAAGCGACAAGAGTTAGCTCAACTTTATATCCCGTTGTCCATCCATTATTGTATATAAATAGAAAGTTAATAA